TGATCCCTTCAGATGAATATTAAATCGACCATCACCTGCATCTCGCCCAGAAATACCACCACCACCAACAGCACATACACAGAACTGCCTACCAGTGGACACCAGTCCTCCAACAAAGGCGAAAATCTTGACAGAGATCGTACTGCTCTGGCTTAGCACTGGAAACAGACCTGGGGCTACCGAAAATGTGCCCACTTCATTACTGCAAAATGTTTTGAAGGGTGGGAGGGTGCTTACCGATTGGAAGAAAGGTTGGCTACTTTGTCAAACTGCCAAAGAAGGGTGACGTATGCTTCACTCTACAAGAACTGGCATGGAGTAATGCTCTTGTTCATGCCAAGTAAAATACTAAGTCGCATCATCATGGAGAGAATAAAGGATTCACTGAATGCAGAACTACAACACCCCAACCAGAACAAGCTGGCTGGATTCGGGGAAGACAAATCATATGCTGGTCAAATTACAACTCTACGCATCACGATCACAGAGCAGAGCATTGAATGGCAGTCAAACCCCTCCCTACCTCAACGTCGTAGACTTCGAGGGTACTTTTGACAGACAGCGTTGACCAAGAAGTAATTCGGGAACTGCCTCAACACTACGGCGTGCACCACCCAAGTCTTCATCAACCTCATTCAACCACAGCTACGTGACAATGCCATGTGTCAGGTGATCCACAATGGTAAACTCAGAGAGACGCTCGAAGTGAATACAGGAGTAAGAAAATCTGGCCGGCTGCCTGCCTGCCTATTATCCCCAACGACGATATTCTTACACGTGGTGGACTGGATCATGCGTCAGACTATGCCTTGGGAGTCAGTGAGAAGACAGGAATACTTTGTAGTGACCGACAAGGAGACTTCAGAAGATCTGGATTTCACACCTAGATGACTTTTGTAAAATGTCACACAAACTCGAAGAATTAGAGGCTAGTGAAAGCTGGAAACAAACTGGCTGAAGAGGCCGACTGCCAGAGAAGACAGCATTTCATCCAGGTGAACATAAAGAAAGGTGAGGAGGTGATGAAAATAACCAACCACCACTAACAGCAACAACAACAGCAGCAACAACCGGCACCAATCACCATCAGCTGGAGAGATTTGACAGAGGTTATTTGCTTTGTAACAACAGAAGACAAGGGCCAGGCAACAGAACGTTTATTTCGGAAAATCAACACGTATTTATAGATTTTGATGTACATTATTGTAGGTTAATGTTAGTAGAAAATACAGTCTGTTGATTGGTTGTTTCTCACGCAAAGTTAACCTTGCATATCTTGTGGCTGTGTCAGTTCAACTATATGTTAACTGTATCCGCCTGTCCACCTTGACCTTTGACCTTACTTACTGTCAACCAATTTGGCTAGCGACCATCTTTCACCACAGCTTCACTTATCCAGCTAGGAAGTACGGTTTCAATCACAGACAATCGGAACAGGCGAAGATGTCAAAGCCAGCCAGACAGCCGGTCAGCCAGCCATTGAGCCAGAATCGGAAAGGTGAGATACGACTTCACCAACCTGAAACCAGTTTGGAAATCCTCTGATGTAACTCAGTCATCCAGCATCAAGAACTTGATTGAGATTTTCAACACGAATGGGAAGTCAGTCAGTCAGTTTTTCCATACGAGTTAGAAACTTGTACTACGTGCCACAAAGAGGATTTCCGACAAGCCACTTCAGACTTTTATCAACAGTTGCTATGTTTGCCAGCCGGCCAGAAAGGTTTAGTAACAAGAAACTCTAGCTGTGAACAAACTAACAAGCAGGAGCGGATTGAGTAACAGATATGTAGAGAAAATGGAGATGGATCGATCGGGTTCGTTGAGGGGGCCATCGAATGACATTGCACGCAATGCATGCCATATCTCTAGTGGAATCCCAACGCGAAGTGATGAGTGTATCGTCGTTGTGATGGTGACACGTAGGAGATTGTGTGAGTTGTGCGAGGAGATGAGATATTATGGCCAATCGTGTTCAAGTCAGCTGAGGAGGACAGCACCAAGAAGAACAAAGTGGAGATGTGTTGTTGAAGCCCTGTGTTCCCCTCGGAACCAAAGAGAATAATAATAATCGTTAGGTTTTGTCAAGTACTTCCTGTTAGGTAGGGAATTATAGCAAGTCCGAGATGCTTATTCTTTCAATCAAGACATTTAATATTATTGAACAAAATTTGTAATTTAGCTGGATGACTTTGACTTTATTCTATTTTCTAAGCTTGACAATTTAACCGGCAGGCGTTCATTTTACTTCTCTGGACAATGTCTTTACTACAGCTAATAGTTTCTCGTAGTTTTTGTGCATCCATGCTTCCTATTGCATGGACTTCTATAGTGTTGACTCTCAAAATAGTATGCACAATATGCACATGTGTTGATCAGTCACCGACAAATAGTCCGTGTTATGTCGTGTATCTCTAAATAGTGATTCGTCTTAGCCGATAAAATCCAGAACTCGAATTCGATGCTTTGCGTCTATTACTCCAAATCACTGTCAGCCATGAGGATATGTTAATAATCCTACTGATACTTTAGTCGATATAATCTCCGAGTTATAATTAACTTTTCGTAGGCTCATTTGTGATATTTATAATCGGTTGTAAAAAGGAGAGTTGAAAAATGGTTATAAATTACATTTTTTTAAATTCAAATATTAGTAAGCTAGATGAAGGAGTATGCGAAGAGTGGTAAGATAACGCAATGTTTTGATTTAGCACGATTGGTATAATACGACAGGTTTATACTTGCCAAATAGGTTGTGAAAGGTAACTGTCACCTAATTGCTTAACTGCCTCATCAGTATTTAAGCAATTCACCTTGCAAAGAATGTTTAGAATATAGGAGTTACTGTATCAGAGGCAGCTTTTTAGTTTACCTGACATGGTGGAAGTCATAATTACTTCAAAGTTTGTTTAACTTAGGCGAAATGTATTCAGCTTCACTTTCTTTTGAGGTTTACTTAAAGATAGTTTCCAGGTGGTTACTGCGTAGAAATAGACGAACTGTAGGCTACGTTTACCTGACAATTACAGCACTCCTAGAAATATCCTTTTCTACTACTTTGATCAGATGTCCGGAGACAAGGTTGTCAGCAAAAGGTTTCATTTGGATATCAGTCACATGTATGCTAAACTAGAAAGTTTAATGATATGATGCGCATATTTTAATTCGTATCAAAATTGTGTATTTCTTCGACGGAAAGTGTTTCAGAGTTTTAAAAAGTCTAAATTCACAATACCGTGACTTACGTGAACTGCTTAGTTCTCACGGTCCCGCTATCATAGATGGCACTGAAGTTGAAACTAAATCGAATGTTAAATACCTTGAACTGTGTACTTCCTGTGATCTTTCCTGGTCTTCACACATCATATTAGTTTGCAGTGGGATTTTGACATTCTATGTAAGGAAGTTAAGACGATCTGGCATCATTCCGCCTCGAATGTTACCGTTTGTTATTTCTTGTATTCTGCCCATACTTCTCCACTGTTCCCCCACACCTTAATCTTTTTCGGGCTACTTAAGAAAGACTTTGTTAGGCTGCGTAGGGCACTAAAAGCCGTCAGTAGGGCGAATGGGGTGTTGCTAAACTAACTCGTTAATGCTATTAGGGATAGACACATGAACTCTTGCATGAAATTAGCAAATATTATCCCGTCAGACTCAGGACATCCTCTCTGTTCACAACTGTTTCATTGCATTTCATCAGGTAGAACTAGAAGTAAATATAGAAGACTGTATATCCGAACGACTAAGTACAAATATTCTACGACACCTTAATTAGCACACATTTTATGGGATGAGAAAAGTGTAAAACAGGAAATTACCAACTTATTGAGGAACTCTAAATAAACGGCACTTATTCTTGTTGTTACATTGTCGCTAATATTTCCGCTTGATTCAATTTTATATACATTTCTATTTGAGCAATAATATTAATTTAAATGCCCTATTTTAATTATTGCCCGTGTAATGGGAAAATTAGATGTACATACCATATTTACACCAAACGTATACCAAACGATCCTCGGCCGATGCACTCCTTCACCTCTCTGAGCCAGAAATAAAGCTAGTAAAGAGGTAAGGTTGGGTATAAGGCTAGCAACCCCATCCTGTAATAATAATCACCACTGCTACAAAAACTTTAAGCCTCTAGCTTGAAGCCCTATGTTTCACTGGGGACGTGAAGGAATTAATAATAATAATAAATATATATTTTGAGGATAAAGGACATTACTATGTAGTTGTTTTACCTGACTAACTTCAGATGGCTTGTATTATGAGTCTACACAATCTGTTTGTGAGGCTTGAATGTCATGTTAAAAGCAAAATATCAGTTAGCAGTTCATTTGAACATATTTATGAACCCAAACTAATTAAGATTTTTCGAAAAAAAAGTGGAGACATGAAGCAGTAAACTGAGAGCGTAGACATCTGAAATTATTAAGTCATTTGATGGCTTTATAAGTCTAAATCGGGTTAAGATGAAACAAAACTAACATGGTAAATTTCTTTAATAAAAAAACGTCGTAGTTAAGTAAAAGTAAAGAGTGAACGTCACCTCTGAAGAATGAAATGCCAGGTAAGCGGATTATTAATCCTACACACAACTGTAGTCTCTTGCTGTGTATAGTCGTTAGTTTGGTATTTGGGAAGCATAACTAAGTTTCTGGCAACCGGCCTACTTGTATTGCGGTAGCTCAGACTTCTTGACTATCTACATTAATAAAATATAGTCTGTGGATCATTGTACGCAAATAATTATATTTTTCGTCGACGTAAGGAGGTCGATTTCCTGAAATATGTCTCAGTAGACATAAGATTCCTGATTACTCTCAGAATCAAAATAAACTAATGAACTTCAAAAGTCAGTCACAGGCCCTGTCTTTTTTCAGTCAATTTTTTATACTAGTAATTTTGATGACTCTGTCAAATAAACAAGTCAGTCTACAAAAGTTAGTCCATTCTATTGACTACAACATTTCGTTTTATTCTCATTCTTTCAGATACTATATTCATACGAATAACACTTTGACGATTGAAAGCTTGAAATTAACGGATGCTGGTATCTTCCAGTGTTATGCCTATAATAGTGCTGGCGAAGATTTCCTCAATATCTGGTTGAAAGTCACTTGTAAGTTGTTTTGCTATTTGTCAATATGCTCTTTGACTTATTTTAAGCGGTCGTTGAAGAATGGATGTCAGTACGATTTGAGCAAACACATAAATAATCAGTACCTTTCAAGTATCGGTTTGTAGGGATTTGATTGATTGGTGATCGATGAGATGCTCACTGATGACTGGCCCTGTTCACGTAGGCAGTTACCTGTCTTCTAGTGGGAAGTCATAACCAGTGGTGTACAGCAAGTCGGGTGTGACGACAAATACTCGCCGAAGACATTGGCTAGTGCCAGTCGCGCTATGCCGTGAATTGGCAGAAGTTGGAATTCATGGGCTGGTCATTGGATCGGGTCCCAGTGGCTTAATGGTCCACGAGTTAGCTCGCCTTGTAACCAGAAGGTCCTGGGTTCGAACCCCGGTTAGTGCGTACTGTGAAGAGTCCCAAACTAGGGCGAAACAGCTGGTCAGTACTCCCAGGTTTTCCAATGGTTCTCTAAATTATGTCGGCTCATGAAGAAATCCTGTAACCAATCACTACCTTTGTTTGTGATTTTTTATCAATATAAGTTGATGTCTAGGAACGCGGTAAATAACTGAGAACGCCTGGTCAAGTTTTATCTGGTGTCCAGTATCTACCAGGTGGGCTAAGACTGCACTATTCATTCCACTTCATTATATTCATTATTATTATTTGACAATCATTCACCAATAGTGCATGTAATTTTACACCATATCATCGTTATTATTTTACAATCATTCTTACTGTCGTTATTTTCAACCTTGAACTAATGTCTAGTCCGCCCCATTCGTTGGTCTATTTTCATATTGTCTCACACACCCTGATTACACACAGTCTCGAAACCTGTATTTCTGTTGACTATATTTAAATATATACACACATCATTAAATTAAATTACTTCATCTGATTTTGTCCCATGTTCTCATTGACCATGCATATTAAAAAACTATATGACTATTGTTCCATCCCATCTTATATTTGTTCCACAATGCACTTTCTGATATGATTCTAATCTGCCTTTACTGGCTATTGTATGCTTAAATTAATGGATTTATAAATGTAGAGCCTGAAGAAGAATTTATTGAAAACAATTGTTCGCTCTAAATATTTTGTTCTGAATAAGTTGATGATGTAGACAGTTGAGACTGAACATTAGTTGGAGATCTGTATCAGGTGGAATTTGAATCTTCCGTCTCTATCTAACTGTTTTGGCTCTCTACCGACTATCAGCTACACGTGACAAGCTATGTGGTTCAAAGTACAACTGACATGGCACCAGGCTATAGATACTCATGCTAAAGGTTCTAATTTTGCCTAACCAAAACTTTCACTTCAACTCTAATCATCACCCAATATATAGGTTGCAGTCTTCGAATCCAACGCTGTCCGACATTGTTTCACTACTAAGAAATCAGAATGTTTATCTAACTTGCAGTAAGGCATTCATTGTATTAAGGCCACATCTTGAGTAATTTGTAATATTAAATTCCTCTCGAATAGTTTTCATTCATCAACTCATCTAGCTTCGGTAACCAGTAGCACGTATTCATAGCTTTGATGGATGATATTCGCTTCAGAATTATAACTAGTGTGATTTACAACAGACAAAAATAAAAATGGCTTCAGGTCTGTTCAGGTGTATTCTGACGCTGATTATTCTATTTTTCCCATACACAAATGATGATGAACTTGAAACAAAACCAGCAACGAAGATGGACAGGTTGGATCTTATCTTGCTCGTTGAATTTTCTTACATACAAATACTGTTGCGTGATTTCCGATTATAAGGTGCATTCCGTGATCATTAGATAATTTATCAGTGAGTAACTTCTGTTTAATTCTCTTTTTTCTCTCTCTCTCTAAAACACTGTGTTAAATAAGAGTAATGATTGTTGATTCACTGCTTATTTATAACTTTTATAAAAAGCAATGCATTAAAAGTTCTCAGAGAACATGTTCTATCAAGATTGGTTGAGAAAAAAGCTATAATCTGAGCGTGTGATTCAAAGCACCGTTCAGAATACGTGTATTTTTTGGGCATTTCTGTCTGGATTGTATCGTGTTATGGGATATAGTCTGCATTACGCCTAACAGTTAGTTCAAATTCTATATCATGTCAAAAATTCAGTGAATTAATGGTACTAACAGTTATTCAGAGGGATTTCCACACTCTTCCATTTTGCAATAAGGTGATAATTTAAATTCTCAGATATCCTTATATTATTTTAGTAAATATATATATATATATATATTAGTTTTTGAGATAGTAGAGAAGATTATTATATTATTATTATTTCCTTTAATTCCTAGAGGAACATAGGGCTTCAGCCATGCATCTCCATTGCGTTCGGTTCTCTGCTGTAGTTTTCACCTGACTCCAAGTCTGCCCACACGCTTTCAATTCCTCTTCACATGATCTCCTCCAGGTCACCCTTGGACGACCAACTCGTCGCTTCCCTTTCGGGTTCCACTCGAGCAATGGCTTGTCTAGTGATGTCACTTGCTGGTTTCCTCAGAGTGTGTCCAATCCATCTCCATTTCTTCCTGCCTATTTGTTTCACGATCGGTTCCTGGTTGGTTCGCTCCCAGAGATCTTTGTTGCTGATCCTCTCCGGCCATTTGATCTTGAGTATTGAGCGAAGGCATTTGTTAATGAAGGTCTGTAGCTTGTTTGAGCTGCTCTTTGTGACACGCCAAGTCTCTGATCCGTATAGTAGTACTGACTGTCAACAGCATTCAGCGTCAAAAATAAGTAGAGAAGATATGTCTGTCTAATCAAAGCAAAGGTGTATCAGTCAGCTGGCTTGTAACTTTCAGAATTCAATTACTTCTAGTTTACTAATAGTGAGAATAAGTGAAAGCTTGCCTTGATAATGAATGATAAAACTGTTTAATGGGATACGGAAAATCCCACTTATGAACCGTTGTTCAGAACCGATGTCTATTACACTTTTTGAACTTTTAATGCAATTATAACGCAGTCAAAAAAAACACCTAAAAATTCAAAATAAATTCAATAGGAATATTGCATGTATATTAAGAAAGTGTGAAATTTATTGGAGCATAAACAATCATTGCTACAGTCTTTAAAACGTTCTTGCATCTAAACATTCATTGATAAATTCCATAAATATATGTATATTTTGTGTTTCACAAAAGAATCACTGTATGAAGGCTTATACGTCGTTCGTTGGCTAAAAACTCGAATTGCCAATAATAATAATAATAATAATAATCTACTTTATTCCAAAAACATTGCTTATAATACAGAATGGAATTCTCAGCATTTGTCACAAAATTGCATTTGATTTATTCAAAATATAAATAAAATTAAAAATTAAGATGAAATTAACCAGAGGAATTTGTCCACATTTACCATATGAAGTCAAAAATATTCGAAGCACGAATTGAGATTATTAAATATAATAATAACAGTGAGTTTGTTTCAAACGGTATTGTCGATTCAGTTTGGAAACTTTAGCATGTTATAGATTATTGGATCTAATGTTCTGTTTATATAGTATAGTGAGGGGAAACACAAAATTAACAGTTATAATACAGCTTAAATTATGTCCATACTTATGAAAAAACAAATAAATATACAAAACAAAAAATTGAGAGGATTATAAGTATAAGAAATACAATAACAATAAAGTTTGATTTTGTAAGGGTGGAGGAAATGGATTATTTAGTGGTGCAAAGAAGGTTGGTTAGTTCATGCCTAACACTATTTTCATCACATAAAGTACGTGCTAAATATGGTATAGTGGAATTTTTATACTTAGATGTACGTGCATAAATTCTTCTGAACAGACTTCTTGTTTTACCTGAGGAGACACAAGGTTGGAGCTGCGGGTAGAGTGGGTGCTCACAGTCTGACAAAATTCCTTTAGCGAATTTGTTGCATGACATCAAGTGCCTATCAGTGACAATGTCAACGATATGGCCCAATGGGATACCACTCGTTCTACTGACAGTCTTAAGAGTTCTACGAAGTATGACAGTCTTTTTTAAGCAATCCAGGAAAGAATAAGGGTGAACAGTAAAGAAGAATAGGTAAAATACACGAGTTGACAAACTGTAAGAGGAGTGGTTGGGTTATGCCTGAGTGTCTTAACTTCTTAATGTAAAAAGTCAGACGAAATATTCTTTGAGAAATCGCTAAGACATGAGAGGACCAGGATAGGTCAGAAGAAAGAATTAATCCAAGATACTTAACTTCAGACTGGGTTTTTATATCAGTATCATCAATTTTGCAAGGACCATAGGAACCAACGGCTTCATTTAACTTTCGTTTACATCGGAAACTGAAGTTGACAGTCTGACATTTGGAAGGATTTAGTTTAATGCCGTTAGACGAAGACCATTTGCTAATTCCTGATAGAAAGCTGTTCATCTTAGTGCAGTCTAGCTGGGAGTTAACAGACATTGAAATAGTTAGATCATTGGCATATTTAACAAAGTTCATTTCATCAGAGTGAGGCAAGTATGAAAGAAGAAAGAAAAGGAGAAAGAACAGCGCCTTGAGGGACGCCAGCCTCAGTAAGCAACGAAGTGGACGACTTTCCCTGACATACAGTGTACTGATTTCTTCCTGAGAAATACGAACGCAGCCATTTGACAACCCAACAGTCAGTTTGAGTTTCGGTAAGCTTGTTTAACAAAATGTCCCTAGGTTTTGAGTCGAAAGCAGATGTGTAATCTAGGAAGGTGCAGCGAACGAATTTAGCCCCCTTGTCTAAGCTGGAGACAATGTTATGATACAGGACTGCAACTGCATCTAAAGTACTTCTACTGTGTTTGTAGGCGAATTGTTTAGGATCGTTAAAGGCTTTAAGTGAAGGTTGAAGATTAATTAGGAGTAACTTTTCCATAGCTTTTAGAAAAGGGGAAGTAATAGCAATAGGTCTAAATTTAAAACAAGTTCCAGTAGAAGACTTAGGTATAGGTACAATTTTAATGTCCTTCCAAACGGCTGGCACGACATTATTGGA